TCTTTCTCTCTCTCTCTCTCTCTCTCTCTCTCTCTCTCTCCCCAACGGGCAGCAGCGGCGGGCGCCTTGAAATTGCTCGGGCCTGTGTGAAACCCGCCACCCCAGAAACCTGCAGTGCCTTGTGTCCGGACCTATAGGCCCTGTCCGGTGGGGCGAAATGACACTGAAAAATCACCCCATTATTTTTCGAGGGGCGGCCAGGACCTGATAAACGTCCTGGGCCGCCCCCTTTTTTTTTTTTTTCTCTCCCCAGGGGCCTCCATCCGGACATCAGGACCAAACACCAGACACCGGACACCGGACTGTCTGGAACCCGGTCCGGAAATCCGGACGGTTACCATGGTTTGTATCTTTATAGTAGTTTACACCTAGCTTTCCTGGGGCGCCCGGCCGGGTAGGGACCACGCCTGGTTGGCTGGTCGGCACCTGCCGGTCACCCCGCAAGAAGGAAAAAAAAAGAAAGGGTCCAGAACCCCCAATAACCCCACCAACACCCCCATACCCGGCCCCTATACCCCCATACACCCCCTCAAAACCCCCCAAACCGCCCCCCAACACCCTCATAGTCCCCAGAATACCCCCTATACCAACCTTATACCCCCAGCTACTTAGTAACTATCAAAAAGTGCCACATTGGGCCTCGCCACACGACTCCCGAAAACAGCTTTCGGATGTTTTCAGGAGTTCAACATATGGCCACACCAGCTCCCGAATTTGATCCGTAGCTGTCAGAATTTCGCTCCAGAGAGCACTTCCGAAACCACATCCGGCAAAGCTGCTGCATTTTCGGGAGAGCTCCTTCGGACCCCCGAGGTCTTTTTTCATCCCACCTCTACCGGAGCGGAGCTCAAAGCAACAAACAGACTGTAGTCAGACTGGTGCCACGTCATTTTCAGAGTTGGAGAGCAGTCCGCTCGCGAACGGGATTTCACGTTCGGGAGCACTCCCAAACATTTTCTAAAAATGACAGTTGCCACGTTCGGGAGCACTCCCGAACATTTTCACGTCCGGGTGGCAACTGTCATTTTCAGAGTTAGAGAGCAGCCCGCTCGCGAACGGGATTTCACGTTCGGGAGCACTCCCGAACATTTTCTAAACCTTGGGAGTGGTGTGGCGAAGCCCATTATCTAAAAACTGCCATGGAAAGTGGAATACCTTCTGGCTACCCACCCCATGTAGCTGAATGGTACACACATGTAACCGTAGATAAACAGGTCAAGAGCTCAAATCCTCATGGAATCAGATGGATACAATAAGGTAATGTGCTACCCCCTAAAAAGAAAAAAGAAAAAAAGGAATACCTTCCGACATTACGACTGGCCTGAGTCACCTGACACTGTCCTTCAGAACAGAGCATTCGTTAAACCACTACAGTCTTCCCCCGAATACAACGTACGGTGATTATAGCTGAACTTAGACTGAAAGATGCACCAAATTCAGCTAGAATAAACGCACGTTGTATTCGGGGGAAGACTGTAGTACCTCCGCCAGTGTTGGGAAAATAGGGAAAACTGGCAGTTTTTCCCAAAGTCCTAAAAAATCGGGGGCAGGGCCCGACGACGGCCGCCGTTGATAAATCTCATCAGCAACCATCGTTTCGTTTTGGCCTCCTAAAAGACCGGAGGCCCACTCGCGGCCTCCCTATTTTCCCAACTGGCGGAGGTGGTTTAAAATTGGAACGATACAGCGAAGATTACTATGGCCCTACTCACTCAAAGATGACACACACACACACACACATCACGATACAATTCAAAATTTTGAAAAGGCCTGACAGGCTGGCAGTGATAGTAAATGTCGTGGAACAGATGCTCCAGTGTGCAGTTTTGCTAGCATTTCCTACCAGTAAGAGGTAATCATTGTCTGTATCATCTGGAAGTTCCCAGCTTGCGTCTGTTCGGATAGAGTCCCACGTGCCAAACGTACACTTGGACCATGCGGAGAGAAAACCTCGGCAACGGTACTGTCCTTCCGCGTACTCTAAGCTGGGTGTGCTGCACATGGGGCATTTGCCTAAAGGCCCAAACATCATGCCATCAGCGCTGCACATCAAAGATACAATCCGCAAACACCCGACTGAGAAGTGAAAAAAAGAAAGTCGACGAAATTGAAAAAAAAAAAAGAGTCAGCGCTCCACAGCACAGATACGATTCGCAAACATACAAAGGAGAAGTGAAAAAAATAAAGTCAAAAAAAAATTGAAAAATTGAAAAGAAAAAAAAACCTCTAACCAATGGCAAATTAACGGGCAAAAATTTCAACATAACTTTCTCGGCCTTTTGGCTAAGATAAAGTGTAGTATCTGTTCTGATCAGTTTAAAATGTTAATCTGATCTGTGGTCCATCGGGCCACAACGATGTTAATAATATTTTTTTATAAAAAAAGGTCCAAAATTTCACAACGCTTCAGAGCAAACAATTGCACCCTTTGTAATGGTTTCATACAAAACCTTTAACAAAATTTCACGGCGTAACATTAAAACCACCAGTACATGGCCCCAGCCAAGTTGAGAATCCGATTGACCTCCTCGTAAAATTTTGGAGGCTCGCATGCCGTTGATAAAATACATCGGCAGCGGACGACCTCCGAAAGGGGCCCGCGGCCGATGGCTCGTACAAGATGATGCAGAGTGGCCTCCAGGCAAGGGTTCTGACAGAGGCATTCTAACAAACAAAAAAGGTCATGTCACTGACCGACCAGGCCTGCAGAAGGGCACATAAAGGCAGGGGATAGCTGTGCTGCTGGTTCGACTTGTTGAAAACAGATTGCCATTCTTTTTGACTGTGCAGTTTTTTGAGAGTTAAACTTGAGATCAGTAGTTCTGTTAATTCTTTTGACTTCGTAGTTCACTACCGTCTTACCCCGAACTCGACGCACCCTCATTTTGGCTGTACCCGACCGGAAATGTACCGAGTATACATTCAGAATTAGGGTGCGTTACGTTCGGGGGAAGACGGTAGTTTGTCAATGCTTTTGACTTTGCATTCTGAGTGTTGGCTATGACTCTTTAGCCAACCCTGCTATTGATTCTGTTGACTTAGTCAGACTGACTACGCACAGTTTGAAAGATCTTTTCAAAACCTTCCATGCAAGATGTCAAGCTCAAGTGTACCCGCTTCGTGGTTGAGTTCTACACACACTTACACACTAGCAAAACAGAGGAGGGGTTCAAACCTAGCTCTATTGAGTCTATTCAATAACGTTAGGGACCGTAAGCGAAACAGGGTAAGGCTCCCAACAGTCATAATCCTGGGTAGACTGTGAGGACCTTGGCCACATCTTGACTGTGTTTTCCGTAATGTAAGGTACTAAGGTTGTTTTGTTTATTAAAAAAAAAAAAAAAAAAAAAAACGTTGAGGACCTTTTGCAGGGAATGAGCCCCTTGCAAGGCCTTAAGGCCCCAGCAGCAGAGAAGTTTGGGTCCCATTGAAAGCCTTGTGCCCGCCCTAACTGAAGGCGGGCGTGCATTATTCATGTGCAGCCTTTTTCAAGCCTATTCTGAACTTGGGGTCGCCAGACAGTTAACACGCGCCAGTTGGCTGAGGGGCCCCAGCATGCTCTGTGAGCAAGGACTCATGAGCCTCCCAGACTCTTCCAGGCAGCGATGTGGCTCCAGGCCTTTCGGCCTAGTTGCCAGTAGCTCGACGTCGGGCCAAAGTGTTTGTGCCCAGGTCCATTCAGATAGCGGCCTGGGAACAGAACAGTTAGGCCACGCCCAACTGTGCGACGTGGCTTGCGTGAGCAGCAAGCGATGTAAGCCGAGTAGCACAGTTGGGCGCGGTCTAACTGTTCTGGCCCCAGGCCGCTATCTGAATGGGCCTGGGCGCAGACACTTTGGCCCGACGTCAAGCTACTGGGAACTCGGCATCCAGGCCCAGGCTGCTCGAAGCAGGGCAGCACAGTCCATATAGGAATGTGCCCAGCGCCCAGGCAACCATTCTAGCGAGCGTCCACTAGGCGACAGCGCTGCCACTTTGTGCGCTGGATGTCACCAGGGTGCTGTAAGCCAGGGCGCACGCAGGCACTAGAGAGGTGCGAGGGGCGCTGCTGGGCAGCAGGCACAAGCGGCCATAGCCAGGCCTGCTTGCGGTGATGCTGGTGATGATGATTCGGGTAGCGGATGCACACTGTGGGTGAGAAAGGGATGAGGAGAGAGAGAGACAGCAGAGACACGTACCTGATGTATGCGGCAGTCTGCATGGACGACTTCATCACCTACATTGGTCTTCAGCTGGAAGTGACACCTGTTGCATACCCTAGCTGTATGCTAGTTTACGTGCTGGGTAGGATAGGCTGGGTGCTGAGCACCACAGAAGAAGAGCGACATTGATACACTGTTTGTGGTGGTGAGAAGGGGCTGTCATTGACATTTGACTTCATTGCATTGCTCTTATTTGGCTTGTAACTCGGTGCTTATTGCTTTCTGCTTGGTACACGACTTATCTGGTCTTAAATGTGATGTTGCAATTTGCTTTGCTGTCTATCACTCTCACTCATTTTCCTTGCACTTTCCCTTTTCGAAACAAAACAAACAAAAGGGATAAACACACATACAACACATGCAAGCGCGTGCGCACACGCACACACACACAGGGGAAGCGACGTGGTTTTACTTCACGTCAGCAGTTTTGTAACTTTCGTTTTTATCAGTGTAACCAGGTAAGCCATCACAGTCAGTACTTGCTGAGCTCCATGAGGCCCTGGGTAGCGAGATGAACCCGTGCTCGGCTTGCAGATTGGTGCCAGAAGCTGATGTCCATCATCTGGGGTCTGCTCCACTTCTCAACCACCTTACGTCAGCAGATATGACAAATACTGGCGCAAATGTGACGAGTACTTGCAGTCTTCCCATGCTAGGCAGTGAGCGATCCAAATGAGCAAGAGGCTAAGAGCTAACTGGGCCTAACCCTCTACCAAACCATACATGCCAATCACACATTCCTTGCTCCGCTAAGTTGCCATCCCTTTACCAAACCACCTGCCTCAAGAGTCGAGCGTCAAGAGTCAAGACCAATTCCCATCTTCCTTGAGTTTGGGACCCCTTTGCATACCATCGTTCGCGAAGCTCTGTCTCCGGCCCCGATGAGTCGAGGCCATTTGCCGTTAGCATTTCTCTCATCTCTTTAACTGTTACATGCTTGCGCAGTGCATCCTTGATCTCCCACAATGCCTTTGTCTGTTTCTCCATGTCTTTTTCAAACTGGATATCCGAAGCACTCTTCTGTGGTTTCTTCTCCTCAGACTTGACATCCTTGGCTTTCTTTCCCTTTCGCTCCGCTGCGGAGGCTTTTTGCTGGTCTTCTACATCCTCTTTTACCACTTTCCTTTTAGCAGCAGACACCATGGTCTTAGTCCTTTTATCATCCGAATTGTCAATGTCTTCCGCCGCAGCACTCCTGCCCTTCCTTGCCCTAGGTTTCTCCTCCTCTACCGTTCCGGCCTCCTCCGGCGCATTCTTACCTGTTCGTGGCCGCTTGCTTGCTTGAACCTTAGCAATCGGCTTGTCATCATCGTCTTCCTCATCATCATCGATCACTTTTGATGTCTTCTTGGCCGGTTGCGCTTCCGCACGCTTCCCCCTCCCCTTCGTGGCATTCTCCGCATCATCATCAAGAACTTCAGCCTTCGTTGCCCGTCCCCTCTTCTTGGCAGCTGATCCTTTCTCCGCCTCCGCACTCGCCTTCTCCTTGCCTGGGACCACAGACACAGCCAGAAGGTCGAACAATAAAGGGTCATTTGCCAGGTGCTGAAAACAACAACAAAAAGACCACCAAAATTGTCTCAAACTTCGCTCAAGCGAACAAGTCCCCACCAGATCACTGTCAATTGGTTCTGGTGAAGATCGACACAGAAACATACAGACAGCGCAACAGCAAAGTTATTGTTATTAACTTATTGCAATATTATGACCATAATTAGAGTTGCACTGCCGTCAGTCAGCAGCCCCTGACTGCTCAGCTGCCGACCAGCCGACAGATCAACCTGACGGCACCACTGGTTGGCCACTTGTTGGCCCAACGCAAGACTGGGGCGGTCACACACACACACACACACACACACACCACCTACACAACCACACACCCACGCCACACACACAACACACACAGATGAATCCGCTGTAGATTCTTCGACAGATTGTGCACCTCATCACTGAACTTGAGAGGAAGATTGGGAACAGTTTTTCAAAGATAAGTTTCCAGTTTATAAACCTCTTTCGGATCTGGTTCATTAACCATGGAATTCTCTGCTATAGAGCCCTCGCCTGCCCGATTCAGCTGAGTATTGCTAGAGCTTGCTGTCAATAAAATCTTTTGTCCTACTGTCCAGAACATCTTACAAATTTTACTTTCTTATTTTCAAGGTATACCTTTACATAAACAAGAACTAACGCCCCCATAGCGGCCCCAAATACCCCCATACACCCCCCCAACACCCCCAAACCGCCCCCAACACCCTCATTACCCCCCCCAATACCCCCTATATCACCCCTGCACCCTTGCTAGAGTTGCTGTCGATAAAAGCTTTTGTCCTGTCGTCTAGAACATCTTACAAATTTTACTTCCTTATTTTGAAGGTATACCTTTGCATAAACAAGAACTGAACGGCCCCATAGCAGCCCCCGATACCCCCATACACCCCCCAAAACCACCACCAACACCCTCATTACCCCCCCCCAATACCCCCTATATCACCCCTACACCTCCCTATACCTCCCCTATACTCCAACCCC